AAGATGCTCAACATCACTAACATCAGAGAAATGCAAATTAAAATCAAAATAAGATATTGTCTCATACCTGTCAGTGTGGCTATCCTCAATAAATCAACAAACAACAATTGCTGGTAAGGATGGGGAGAAAGGGGAACTGTTTTGCACTATTGGTGGAAACACAAATTGGTGCAGCTACTACGAAAATTAAAAATGGATCTGCCTTTTGATTTAGCAATCCCACTTCTAGGAATATACCTGAAGGGACCCAAAACACTAATTCAAAAAAACATAAGCACCCCTATGTTCATTGTAGCAGTTTTCACAGCCACCAAGATATGGAAGCAGCCCCAAGTGTCCATCAGTAAATGAATGGATAAAACAACTATGGGATGTTTATACAATGGAATACCACTCATCTATAAAAAAGAAGAAAATTTTACCCTTTGCAACAGTATGGATGGACCTGGAGAACATTATGCTAAGTGAAATAAGTCAGTCAGAGAAAGTCAAGTACCATAGGATTTCACTCATCTAAGCTGAATTAACAAGAAAAATAGGGGTGGAGGGATTGAGCAAAAGGGAAAAAGGATGCATGGACTTTGACAACGGTGTGGTGACTGTAGGAAGCATGTATAAGGGGATTAAAGGGTAATGGAAAAAGTACAATAAAAAATTTTGAAAAAGAGAATGTAAATTGGTACAACCACTATAGAAAACAGCATGGAGATTTCTCAAAAATTAAAAATAAAACTACCATGTGATTAAGCAATTCCATTTCTGGATATAGTTGTAAATGATATGAAATTATTATCTCAAAAATATCTGCATTGTACCTGGCTGGTGTAGCCCAGTGGATTGAGCGCGGGCCTGCGAACCAGAGAATTGTGGTTTGATTCCCATTCAGGGCACATGCCTAGGCTGCAGGCTGGTTCCCTGCAGGCCAGTTCCCAGCAGAGGATGCACGAAAGGCAACCATACATTGATGTTTCTCTCTCTCTCTCTCCATCCCCTCTAAAGATAAATAAATAAATTTAAAAAATCTGCATCCACATATTAAATTTAGCATTATTTCTAACTGCCAAGATATTGAAACAATGATGGATAAATAGTAAAAAAAGTTCTAATATGCAATTGAATATTATTTAGCCATAAAACAGAAATTTTGCTATTAGAGACATTATGGATGGAACTTGATGGTATTATGCTAAGAGAAATAAATAAGGCACACAGAGAGAAAGAAATCCTGCTTGATCTCATTCAAATGTGGGTTCTAAAAAATAAAATAAAACTGAACATAGATACAGAGAACAAATTGGTGTTTGCCAGAGGCAGGGACTGGGGGATTGGGAAAATGAGTAAAGGTGATTGAAAAATCCAAACTTTCAGTTATGAGATAAATAAGTTTGGGGACCCAATGAATAGCATGATGACTAAATGTGGGAGTGCCTGCAGGCTTTCATTATAATCTAGGAAGTTAAAGCCCCATTGTAATCTTATACTGAGTCCTAATAGCTACACATTTTAAAGTGCATGGAAATCTTATAATCTGAAGTACTGTGGGATGCAGTAGCACTCAAACTAAGGAAATCTAGTTGACAATAACCCAAGGCTTAACCTAGAGAACTTTCTTGCAATAACTTGAAAGCTCCTAACATAAGAGGAAACCCTGTCAAGTAAAAATGGGTAAGAAGCAAACGCCAAACTGTTTATTATATTTTTACCCTCACCTCTAGTTTCAGAGCACTAACTCACACACAGGAACAAAATACTGTGAAAAGCAAAAAACCTTCTCAGCTGGGCCCTCAGGGCACAGGACGCAGGAGCCAGACACACCCTGCTGTGTGAGTAGACAAGGGGAGAGAATAGCTCAGATGGCCACAGAAAGGAAACAGGAAGAGGTCTCAGCTGCCTCTTGTCTCTCAGCAATTTCTGATTTAGGTTCCTATATGCTACTTCAATTTGCATTTGTTTTTGTACATCATAAAGGTTTGTGCGTTGTGTGTGCTTTGCTTACCCAACTAACTTGCAAATGTGAAGATCTCACAGGGATGTAAGAGGGAAATTGCACCGGTAAGAGAAGTGAGAGAAGATCAAAAGGATAAAGGGGTAAAGATGTATCATCATTGCACGGGGACTTGACGGGGCTTTTGAAAGCCCTTCACCTCACCTCCTCTGAGTGAAGTGTCTGTCTCTTCTTAGCTCTGTGGCAGGCTTACAGTTTTGGTCAATCCATGGTGAAGGATTTTCTCTCCTTTCTGTTTTGTTCTTTTCTTTTCTGCACCCCTTGTACCCAAATACACAATACCAGAACCGTTTCCTCCACACTGAGGCCATTGCTTTTCATCTGATCCAGCTGACCAGCAGCGACATGATAATCAGAAGCCTGGCTGGTATAGCTCAGTGGATTGAGCGTGGGCCAGCAAACCAGAGGATAGCAGTTAGATTCCCCGTCAGGGTACATGTCTGGGTTGCAGGCCAGTTCCCAGCAGGGGACTTATGAGAGGCAACCATACACTGATATTTCTCTCCCTCTCTCCCTCCCTTCCCCTCTAAAGATAAATTAAAAAAAAAAAAAAGAAGACTGGGAATTGTGCAACTGCACAGCATGCAGACCTGGCTCTGTCTCTCCATTGATTTGCAGATTTTAGTAGCTACAACTGGGTCCTTGAGTTGTCCTTTGTTTTAAGAAACTCTTCTTTTTGGATAACATACTATCTCTGCTTCATTTCTGTCTCATGATGAAGACAGCCAACTTCATATAGAATATGTGTCCTATTTCCTATAGAGCACATCAACTCAAGTTGCCAGTCTCAGTGAAGTAAACATCAGGTCCTCAGATATGTAACAGTATAGTTCACAGGTCTGGGAAGAAGGTACACAATCTGTGTCTAAGCCAAGGTCAATGTGTACGTGTGCTAATGTAAAACAAATGTCCTGTTGGGTTCCAAATTAGGCAAGTATAAAAAAGAGAGGGAGGAGGACTCATTTTTAATAAGAACTGAAAAATAGTTCACTCAGTACTGTATAACCACACCTAACGAGAACTACCATTTACCACATTCTTCTCCTTTGTTAGGAACTGTGCTAAGTGCTTTACATAGATTATCTCATTGAATCATCAAAATGATGGGTATCTATGAAGAAGGCACTATAACTATGTATTATGTTTGTTACACAGGGAAACGAAAGTTTAGAGACTTGAAATAACTTGGCAAAGATGATGTATATGGAAATGACAGAGCCAACAATAAAGACTGAGCTACCTGACTCTGACATTGTGCAGCTAAATGATGCTCTACACAGCTCTCCTTCTTTCTGTTACTCAAGCATCCCCTGCCTCCTCCACCAACTTCATCCCCAACTGAACTCAAGTTTGTTTTCTGGAAAACAAACAATAATAGGCCTAGAGCATTGTAAGGTGGTGGTGGAGGAGGTTCTGGTTTACAGGTGGACTATTTCATTACTATGGTCTTATTTATTTGTTTGTTTATTTATTTATTTATAATCCTCCCCTGGGCATATGTTTATTGCTTTCAGAGAGGAAGAGAGGGAAAGAGAGAGAATATGAGAGAAATATCCGTTAGTTGCCTTCTACCTGTGCCCGACCAGGGATCAAACATGCAACCTATGTATGTGCTCTAACCAGGAACTGAACCAGCAACCTTTGTGGTGAAAGGGACGACATTCTAACCAATTGAGCCACCCAGTCAGGGCCATGGTCTTATCTCTTGATAAGAAATGGAGAGGAGGGAATAAATCCACACCTGCTTGCACTGGGCAGCCTTCTGACCCCCTTAGCATAATTTTCATGAGTTATTTGTTGTTTTTCTTATATTACCAGGCCACTTTGCCTTGAGTTAAAAACATTCCATTTCCAGTGCATTTTCCATTTTTTTTGGCTAATGTTTTTATTCTTTTTTCACTAGTAGAAATGGAAGTAATTTATTTTAGGACCAAGTACTGTAGGGTGGGAGTTATTATGGTCATTTTTCAGATGGGCCCAGGGAACTGACATAACAGACCCCAGGAGAAATTTACTTCTAGCCAAAAAGGAGCTAGAACTTACCCCTAGGATTCATGCCTGCAAATGTGGGTGTCTAAAGCATGTTTGTATGAATGCTACATGTCCACTAGCTTCTTTGGCACCCTTAGATACTCCGTACTAAATATCTCCAAAGCCATTTTCATGAATTCTCTCATGAACTTGCTCTATCTCCTCTGCCTCCTGTCTCAGCAAATAGTACCATCATTCCAGTGTGCATGCCATCAACTTCAATTTTCTCTCTCCTTCACTCACACTGCCATTGTCCTATATTACCAAGTCATATCTCTTTTATGCCCAACACATACCATTTATCTTTTTCTTTCCACATCTACCCAAACAATACTATCTCCTCTGGGCTACCGGAACTGTCTTTAATTTGTCTCTATTTTTTCCTCTTTTCCCACCTTGACTTCATTCTCATACTAAATCCAGGTATATTTTTATAACACAAATACAATGAAGCTCTAAATGTCATCCCATCATTCTGTTAAAAAGATTTCAATGTCTTCCAATGGCACTTAAATAAAAATAAAAACCTGAGGTGTGGCTGAGAAGGTCTTGCATGATCTGGCCCTTGCCATATCTCACACTTCATCCCTCAATCTCTGCACCATGGTCCCACCGACATTTTCCCGTTTTCTCAAACACTACGAAGCCCTTCCTTCACACAAGCTCTGGCCTCTCCCTGGGTCCCTCACTAACCTCCCATCTCTGAAATGGAGTTACTGCTGACTCTTTCCTCAGACCTCAGCTCAGATGTCGCTTTCTCAGAGACAATTCCTCTGACCTCTACTATATGCTCTCTCACAAGACCATTGCACTTCTTATCACTTATCACTGTTGCAATTTTACATTTATTGGTGGAATTAGGTGATCGGTTTCTGTATCCCGTACAAGCAATACCTTTTTTTGTTCTACCTTGGGTACACACCTAGCACATGGTTGGCACATGGCACATATTTGTTATGCTTACCACTTTTCTGAATGAGAAGGTTGTAGGTTTTAGTCTGAATGCCCTCTGGGTACAGAGTAAAGCTGCACTCATACTTCCCACTGAGTGAGGTGGACATGTTCCTTAAGTGCAGAGTCCATTGTATCACATTCCCAGGAATTTCTTGGAAAGTCACCAGTGACTGGCAGGGAATCCCGCTGAGACAGTGGAAGCCATGTTGGGGATGATAAAGAGCAATGAGGTCCACCTCCCTGGACCACTGCGTTTGTATCAAGCTTTTCTTCTGTGTTTGGCAGGTCAGGTTGACATCAGAGCCAGGTAAAGCATAAACGTCTTCTCCTGCATTGACTTTTCCTTCCCATACTCCTGAAAAGGAAGAACATTAGTTTGCATGCTTCACATAGAGTGACTCTTAATCATAAACTTTGATGACTTGGATGAAGTGAGTGAGCAGCAGGGGACTTCTGTCCCTGGCTGCCTTAGGGGTTGGGGAGAGCTTATGTGTGACCCCAAGAGAGAAGCATGATTTTCAATACATATGAGGAGGCATTTACTTAAGGACTAGAGAAACAGACTGACTTCTGCATATTTACTTCTTTGTCAGTTGGTCTATAACTTAAGATCTCTGACTACCAGTGAAAAAAAATGAAGACTTTGAAATTGAAACTCACCATCAAATTTGTTATGGCAACTATTCTTACATTTAATACAATTGGCTTTTTTTGGTTATAGATCCACACTTGTGTATTAACACTCAAGTGGTATTTTTTAAAACTTCAAAAAAACTACAAGCTATTAGGTATAGAAATTTTTTAAAATACATGTTTACAAGAGGATTTTACATATACTGTCTCATTTAATCTTTCTCTGATACCAAATAGTGAAGTTGTTAATGGTCTTTTTCAAGGAGGAATCTGAGGCACAGATTAAATGATTTTTTTCAGAGTCGCATCTCAGTAAAAGGATGTGAATATGACTGACTAGAATCTGTGCTCTGTCTATAAACTCATAACCTCCAAACATCTGCCAAATTGGTTGATACAGGTAGGAAACTTGATATTCAGTATATATAAACTTGCGAGGGCCTTGATTCCCATGTAGTTAGTATTCATAAGGGAGGAGAGAATACCTCAGCTAAAGATAAATCATTGGTTAGCATCATCTATAATCAATGCTTTGAAATAGGGAAGACTCACTCCCGTCAGTGCTCCAACCAAATGGTACAGGCATTTAAACCATGTTAAGTATTGAGTCTTTGACATGCCCTCAATAGTACAGACCTCAGTTTTAGAATGAGCATGGAATACTTTTACAGAAATGATACATTATTGTGACAAGTACCGCAGAAACTAACAAAGGGAAAGATAAAAAGGTGACAAGGCACTGAGAAGAAACAAGCCTTTTAAAGGTACTCGATAAACAGGAATTATTACACTTTTATGAATGCAAAAGTCTGGGTAGGCAGAGGTTAGGACAGTTTAATGCAGCTCCTTGTGAGCTCCCCTTTGCTGGATAATATGTTTCTAATCCTGTCTACAGCATGATATTCCCAAGTGCCCTTTGATTTAGAAATTCTCCTTAAAATCTTAGTGGCTCTATCTGAAAAGCACAGTTAATTCTTAATACTCTCATGGCCACTATAATACCCTCATGCCGTGGGACACAGTACTAATCCTTCTTCTCACTATTTATAAATAGGCCCTTTAGATACTGGTTCCCACCGTCATGAGGACCCCCGCGTGCCTCCCAGGTCTATACCTACATGTGCCTCATTAAACTTCAACATATGTTCAACTCCCAAAGACAGCATTTGGAGGAGAGATGTTTGTTACACACAAAAGAAAAAGAAGGAGAGCTGAGAGAGAGAAAAAGTTGAGCAAGGATCTCTGAGCATCAGTGGCTTTGTGATTTATTTATTTATTTGTATTTAGTATTCCAGAGTTGTTCTGACTATCGTTTGGAAAGCATTTCATTTCCAAGACAGAAAATTTCCCAGTTACCCCAGAGATCCTCTCAGGAGGGAAATGGGTAAAAATGTCTCTGAGCAGTGGCACAAACCACCCATTCCCTTCCCGGTTTTAGCGTTTGTTAGTAGTCACTTCTAGACTCTTAACAGCTCTCCCGTAGCTGCCACTTACACACATAACTGAGAGCCTTAGTAACCATCTGCCTTTGGTGCTGGATTTCAGCATCACTCATAGGCATTTTAAACAAACGGAGGCCTCATTTGCCCCCTAAAGTGGCTGATTTGACAAGAAAGGACAACTGGAAGCCTTACCCCTGACAAAGTGTATCTGGATGATGGAATAGACTGCACAGTATGTCCATCTTTTCTCCATCGTCTCCCGAAGGCCTTACACCAGCATTTTCATCGTGATCACAGAAGTCAATTAATGCCTTTAAGCAAACTCCAGCCACCCTATTTGTGCTGAAAAACCCCAAATCCACCACACGCCGAGGTCTGTTTATCACTTGGCAAGACTCCAGGAAATGAAACGTAGACAGGAAAGTAATGTGGTTCAGAGCTCAGTATAACCTTCAACGGAACAATGTTGAAATTGTTCTCTGAAGCCTTGTGTTTCACCTTTGTTAAAAGACTTTTCAGCATCTGATGAGTTTTCCCATCAGGATCTCTGTGTCACTCAAGCCGCTTCTAAAATCCAAAGGCAGTCACGCAGAGGAGTTCATAATGTACTTTTCACATACTTCTTTTCAAGAGCACAAAGTCATTTAGCAATTTTGAGCTATGTGTCTTTGTTAATAGTTTTTCTGTTCAATTTAAAAAATATATGTTTTCTTTACAGAATTACTCTGGAGTGAGAGAACAAAAAAATTGCACATTGAATTTTAATAAAATCTGAAAAATAACTGAGGGGAGCATCAGCTCTCAAACCAAATTTTATTGTCTCCTCTTTTTGCAGAGAGACCCTCATTTTCTGGGCAGTGGAGAGACGAAGGCTCCTTTTCTACCCAGTGTCTGGGATTGACTAGAAGTTAGGCAGGGAAGTCTCTCACCCTGCCGGCTGGAGGCCTATTATGCTGATGACAGAAAAGCTTGTGCCTCAGCCCAAAACCGTACAGAGAAAGGCTGCATCATTCGGAATCCCAAGGCAGAGAATCTGTTTTCTCCACTGGCCACCAAGCCTGTTAAACCTGCCCAGTCACTTCCGTTTGCAGAGAACCGAGACTGCAGACCTGGGAAAGTGACTCCTGGGACATGATGACTGTACCCCTGACAGATGCGACTGTATGGTTTTCCAACATCACGAAAACAAGCATTAGTCTTAAGACTCGGTGCAATTTCAATGAACAAAGAATAACCATAAGTAAATATATGTGCACTTGGGGACACATTCTGTGACCTCAGTCTCACTGTTACACTGCCACCTTTGGCAGCACTCAGCAAGCCTGAAGACAAAGAAGCAGGCTGAGCTTCATTCCTGAGGTGATAATTTTTTAGAGATAATTTTTACCAGATTGTCATCATATTCACGTTATCATGTATCATGACATCATATCATGTCGTTAAGTATATACTGACCTGTCCGGTTGGTAGGGAGGAATACAGATTACCCTGAGGCATAAGGCATCATCCTCGTCACTGAGGAGATTAGAATTTAGCTGGGAGAAAAGAGATTAGCATATGGCCAAACCGGCTTCTGCCTTCCTGGATGTCCAGGCTGCCCTGTACACTATCACTGCAAATACTTGCCATGACAACTGGCATACTTATTACTTCTCAGCTAATGATGTTTCCTGTAAAGGCCAGAAGATGCAGTTACCTATTTCCTAATTTAGGGCTCTCCCAACATTTGCTCTGGCGCCCCTCCCCACAACCTCCCCACCGAGGCTCAGGTTACTGGTAATGAGGAGGCTATTTCAGAGAGGGTGTGGAGTTCAGTCTTTGATTGAAAGGAGAAGGGGAAATCATTGCTCTTGATGGCTTTATCTCCCTTCTTCATTTCTCCTAAAAATTCCTGTAAAGTACAGTGATGGACTATGGAGCCAAAAACAGTCCAAGAGATACAGGGGGAAGGTCCTGATCGGTAGTTTGGCATCCCTGTTAAATTTGGAAGACATTACAAGCCTGGGGAAGAAACTTAGCTCACTCTACTTGTGATATTAAGAGGAAATTACCTAGATGGAAAACAATAAAAATCTAAATTTATTGAATTCTCTAAAAACAACACCCTCCTGCTCTTGACATACTAACACATCTCCTATTTTTTATTCAAAAAAATTAAAAATAAAATAAGACACCCTAAATTTAGAAAAAAAGAAAATCATCACCCCCCCCCCCCGCAGAGTTACTGACTCCCTTTTAATGGAATCCTTACCTCTTATGGGTTGAACTACCCAAAGCACTTGTTCAATAGCCTCTGGGCAAACTGTCCCTCTTTGGGTATTTTCAGGGCCTGGTTCATGGTTTGGATACTTAGAAACCTCTGCATCCTGGAACTATCAGGTTTGACTAGTTTTCCTTTGGGACCCACCTGGGCTCTCAGAGAGGAAAAAATCCAGATGCCCACAGAATCTTAATTGAATGCACCTGTGCCCCGCAGCTGCGAAACCCAGGTGACAGACTCTCCATGGCTGTTTGTGTGCAGCAGGTGGCAGCAACGCCCTGCAGACTAACCAGCACAGCTCTCCCTGATGATGGAAATTTTGGCTTCCACTGCCTTTCAATCCCAACAGTATTTTCTAAAGGCCCTTTCAGCATGGGGATAGGCATTCTCTAAGCTTAAAAATAACTCTTCTATGGAAGTCATGTCAATCTCTTCTATTATCCTCCCTGCTCCCCAAATCCCAATTGCAGAGCATTTCTTCTGTCTTAGAGTATAGGCTGACTGCATGTAAAGAGAAAACAGAAGCAGTCAGTTTCACACACACAAAGAAATCCCTAACCTCTTGAACTTCAGAGGCAAATTCAATTATTTACAAAGAGAAGCAGGAGCACACGTTATTTCTGCTACTGGCAAGCCATAATTCTGTGTTTTGGACAAACTTGTTATATGGCCCATTGAAACACTTAGCCTCAATGAGAAAAAGACATTTTCAGAAATAGGAAGTTGAGCAAAATGGTAAACTCACTTTAGTGGTTTTCATTGTAGTTATCTCAAACATTACTGACCGGTCTTTTATTCTATTCTTTATTTATAAAACAATGTGGAGTGTTAAGTTTCTCTTCTATAATGTTTAGAATCCATGGCATTTAATATGTTTGCAAATCAAAAATTATTGTCAACTCTTAAAAGATTATGAAGAACAACAGATCTAGGTGATTTGAAAATACAAATGCTAATACATACCTCTTGCCCTTCAGACACTTATCATTTTGCTGGAGAGAAAGCATTCTCATGCACCAACATAGCTGAGTTTCATAATGCACAGAAACGAGAGGTAGGCAGGCCAGGCCTTGGGAAAGGGCAGATCTCCGGGGACCAAGTGGGGCAAGAACATCTGAAGTGTGGAGCCCAAATCTGCCTTTATTTTATAAACGTGAGTCTGGTGAAATCCATGAGGCAAGTCACCTGAGGCAGAGAAAACAGTCAGAACCGACACTTGGTAGTATTGAAGTCAGAGGTTAATTCAGTGATTTGTCTGCTATCATTGAACGAAGACTCCCCTGGGGGCTTGGGGCAGACAAAATTGTCCAACCAGTGAGCTTAGAATATGGAGAGCTTTAAATTTTAGCTGATAGACCCTTTTCTTATATTAGACATAATTATAGAATTTCCAACAAAAGAGAAATATGTTTAAATGTAACATTTGAGAAAGAAGAATGAATTGAATTGACATGTGCAGATTGAATAAAAGAAGAGAGAAAAGGGAGGCAGAGCCTCTGCTGGGAATTTTACATTTCTCTGGGCCCCAGAGGACAAGAGTTTGACTACTGGCAGTGATTACAGTGAAGAGTGATGGACGAGAGGCGAGAACGTTCAAGAAAGGGGAGGTGAGGCCTGTTGTCCGATTGGGCATGGAATCAAAGTCTTCTGTCAAGTTTTTATGCATCCAAATTAGGAATAAAAGAAAAACTGAAGTAGAGCTGGATTTCTGCTGGAAGAGCCACCCCACCCAAGGAGCAATTGTCAGTGGACTTTGGATGGGAAGTGAGGAAGCCCCGGTTAGGGTGCAGCATAGAGGCTCTGCCTTCAGGAGAGCCACACTCCTCCTTTAGGTTTTCACTCAAATTGAACGAGTTTTAGGAATTACTGTCTAATGAAAGAGAAAGAATTCTGTGAGACTTTCATAGCAATCTGTTTCATCACCATCATTTCCACCATGCTTGAGTCTATCAAAGACTGATTCTGATTTAATACATTTTTCCAAAGACAACATCAATATCTCATTGCCAGAAGCCATTTTAAAAGATTAAGAAAGAAAATAAAAATCAGCTGGCGTCCTAACCATCCAAAGACAACCAGTACCTATTTTTGTCTTATATCTTTCTACAGTTTTACAGAAATACATATACATGAAGAAAATTGGTACGTGCTGTTTTTCCCATGTGCACTCTAACTTGTGCTTTTTTCATTTCACAAAGATTGTAGACAAATCTTCACACAACAAAGATGAACTTCTTCCTTTTTAAATGATGGTATAAAAGATATTGTATAGATATACAGAAAATGATTTTAAGTAAAATAATTATAAAACTTCCACCTAATGTTTTACTTTGAGAAATACAATTACAAAGTTTAATGGAATAATTATAGTTAGTAATCTTTAAATATATCTTGTTAGTGGTAAGTTGAAATATGGGGGTGGAGAGAACTTGATTTTTGCCAAAATGCTGGGAAGCTAATTTTGCCATCAATAACTCAATAACTCAATACTAAAATGTATTTTGCAGAAATACATTTTAGAAATCACCAATATTTCTAGAGTTGACATAGTCAAAATTAGGAGAAATATTTTGAGTTCTACAATCTATCTGGTTTCAAGATTTGAAAATTTATTTAAAATGTCTCCTCACATTCAATGAATTACTGAGCAGTATTGAAACCAGTTTTAGAAAGATAGCATAAAGCTAAATTATATACTGAGATCCTTTTGTAGGCAGCTACAAAAATATTCTTAAGTATGTTGTATTTTTACAACTGTAGAATTCTCATAGAAATATTGTGTTTCTGTACTTGGTAAAAACAATAGGCTAGGTAAAAATCAACCAAGGACTGGATCGACCTTTTGCTAGTAAAACCCCCACCCTCTATCCTGAATTTTTTTCAATAATTTCCTTTTAAATGTAGTTCTGAGCGTGAGAACAAGAAGGAAGGTGGGAGGGAGGGAAAGAAGGAAGGAGGGAAAGAGAGAAGGAAAAAAGGAGAGAGAGAGAGAGAGAGACAGAACCCGTATGTTGGTATTTGTTACTGTTGGTGATGGTGTAGCTCAATGCAACCTCAATTAAGTAATGGTATCAGGAAATATATTGTGATTAATAGCATTTCCTTGGTAACTGAGAA